AATTAATGAGAAGAGTTGTGACAGACGAGGATTGTAGGATCCTCCAAGAGGACTTAAACAGGCTGCAGAGATGGTCAGGGAAATGGCTACTGGAGTTTAACACCAGTAAATGTAAAGTTATGGAAATGGGATCAGGTGACAGGAGACCAAAGGGACAGTACACAATGAAGGGGAACAGCTTACCTGTAACGATTCGAGAAAGAGACCTGGGAGTGGATGTGACACCTAATCTAACTCCTGAGGCACATATAAATAGGATAACGACAGCAGCGTACTCTACACTGGCGAAAATTAGAACTTCATTCAGAAACCTAAATGAGGAAGCTTTTAGGGCGCTTTACACTGCCTACGTGAGACCCGTCTTAGAGTATGCCGCGCCATCATGGAGCCCCCACCTGAAGAAACACATAAAGAAACTGGAGAAGGATCAGAGGTTTGCGACGAGGCTTGTTACAGAGTTACGAGGGATGGGATATGAAGAGCGGCTGAAGGAATTGAACCTTACGACACTAGAGAAAAGAAGGGAGAGAGGAGATATGATAGGGACATATAAAATACTCAGGGGAATTGACAAAGTGGAAATAGATGAAATGTTCGCACGTAATACTAACAGAACGAGGGGACATGGGTGGAAACTGGAAACTCAGATGAGTCACAGAGATGTTAGGAAGTTTTCTTTTAGCGTGAGAGTAGTAGAAAAATGGAATGCACTTGGGGAACAGGTTGTGGAAGCAAATGCTATTCATAATTTTAAAACTAGGTATGATAGGGAAATGGGATAGGAGTCATTGCTGTAAACAACCGATGACTGGAAAGGCGGGATCCAAGAGCCAATGCTCGATCCTGCAAGCACAATTAGGTGAGTACAAATAGGTGAGTACACACACACACACACACACACACACAGAGGGGAGGGCAACACCACCACCCTCCTCTGTATAGAAACCCTCCTTCCCCTCACCCTACCTGCACCCACCCAACCCCATTCTGACCCTGACATCCCTTCCCCATTCCCATCATGTCCCCCTCCCACCTTTCCCCCGCTCTCCCCCCTCCCCCTTCATCCCATACCCTCCCTATCCCTCCTCCCCCCTCACCCCGTATTCTCCATGTCCCCCCTATCTCCTTAACCCACACCCTACCTGTCCCCCCTTCCCTGAAACCCCCACCCCTCACCCCAAAATCCTCTGAGACCCTGCAAACCACCTCACAGTTCTTCTCACACACGGAAAAGCTTCCCACACCAGCAGAATGCTCGCCAAGAAAGGGACATGAAAATGAACAGAAGAAAGTGATCTTCAAGGCAATGTACACTAACATAGATGGGATTACAAATAAAACAAGTGAACTCGGAGAATGGGCACTAGAAGAAAACCCAGACATAATAGCACTCACAGAAACAAAGCTAACAAACACCATAACAAATGCAGTGTTTCCAAAGGGATACTATGTAGTGAGGAAAGAGAGAGAAGGGAGAGGAGGAGGTGGTGTAGCTTTGCTACTAAGAGAAGGTTGGAGTTTCGAAGAGATAATAATTCAGAACTGTGAAGGTTTCAGTGACTACATATCAGGCACCATAGCAACTGGAGGACAGAAAATTATAGTAGTAGTCATATATAACCCCCCACCGAATGACAGAAGACCCAGACAGGAATATGATAGAAACAACTTGGCCACCATCAATATAATAGAGAGAGCAGCTTCTGTGGCTAGCAGGAACGGATCCAGACTACTAATCATGGGAGACTTCAACCATGGGAAGATAGATTGGGAGAACAGAGACCCGCATGGAGGACCAGACACATGGAGAGCTAAGCTGCTGGATGTGGCAACAAGAAACTTTCTAAGTCAACACGTCAAGGGACCAACAAGAACGAGAGGAGAGGATGAACCAGCCTTGCTTGATCTGATATTTACCCTAAATGAGTCGGATATAAGGGAAGTTAAGTTGGAAGCCCCCTTGGGAATGAGTGATCATAGTGTATTGAGCTTTGAGTACCTGGTTGAGCTAGGAATTATCACCCCCAAAAAAGAACTGGGAAACAAAGGGCTGGTGTACCGAAAGGGAAACTATGAGGAGATGAATAAATTCCTATGGGATATACATTGGGACACAGAACTCGGAACCAAGTCCGTACAAAACATGATGGACTATGTCACCCAAAAATGTCAGGAGACTGTAAGCAGGTTTGTCCCAGCCCAACAGGAAAAAACAGAGAAGCAAAGGAAGAATCCGTGGTTTAATAGGGAATGTATGAAAGCAAAGGAGCTGAACAAAAGGGCATGGAGGAACTTCCGTAATAACAGAACACCAGAAAGTAGAGAGAGATACCAGAGAACCAGGAACGAGTATGTTAGTGTGAGAAGAACAGCTGAGAAAAGGTGTGAAAATGATATAGCTAATAAAGCCAAGACCGAACCAAAGCTACTCCACAGTCACATCAGGAGGAAGACAACAGTGAAGGAACAGATGATGAAACTTAGGGTGGCCGAGGACAGGTACACAGAGAATGACAAAGAGGTGTGTGAAGAACTCAACAAAAGGTTCCAGGAGGTCTTTGCAATAGAACAGGGAGAAGTCACGGCGCTAGGAGAGGTGGCAGCAAACCAGGTGACCTTGGAAAGGTTCGAAATTACATAAGATGAGGTCAAGAAGCACCTATTAGAGCTGGACGTGAGAAAAGCTGTTGGGCACAGTTCAGAGGCACTGAACTATAGGCCAGTGTCCTTAACTTGTATACCATGCAAGGTGATGGAGAAGATTGTGAGAAAAAAACCTAGTAACACATCTGGAGAGAAGAGACTTCGTGACAACTCATCAACATGGGTTCAGGGAGGGTAAATCTTGCCTTACAGGCTTGATAGAATTCTACGATCAGGTGACAAAGATTAAGCAAGAAAGAGAAGGATGGGCGGACTGCATTTTTTTTGGACTGTCGGAAAGCCTTTGACACAGTACCCCATAAAAGGTTGATGCATAAGCTGGAGAAACAGGCAGGAGTAACTGGTAGGGCACTCCAGTGGATAAGGGTGTACCTAAGCAATAGGAAGCAGAGAGTTATAGTGAGGGGTGAGACCTCAGAATGGCGGGAAGTCACCAGTGGAGTCCCACAGGGCTCTGTGCTTGGACCTATCCTGTTTCTGATATACGTAAATGATCTCCCAGAGGGTATAGACTCATTCCTCTCAATGTTTGCTGACGACGCCAAAATTATGAGAAGGATTAAGACAGAGGAGGACAGCTTGAGGCTTCAAGAAGACTTGGACAAGCTGCAGGAATGGTCGAACAAATGGTTGTTAGAGTTTAACCCAAGCAAATGTAATGTAATGAAGATAGGGGTAGGAAGCAGGAGACCAGATACAAGGTATCACTTGGGAGATGAAATATTTCAAGAGTCAGAGAGAGAGAAAGACCTGGGGATTGATATCACGCCAGACCTGTCCCCTAAAGCTCATATCAAGAGGATAACATCAGCAGTATATGCCAGGTTGGCTAACATAAGAACGGCCTTTAGAAACTTGTGTAAGGAATCCTTCAGAACATTATATACCACATATGTCAGACCAATCCTGGAGTATGCGGCTCCAGCATGGAGTCCATATCTAGTCAAGCATAAGACTAAACTGGAAAAGGTTCAAAGGTTTGCCACCAAACTAGTACCCGAGCTGAGAGGTTTGAGCTACGAGGAGAGACTACGGGAATTGAACCTCAATTCGTTGGAAGACAGAAGAGTTAGGGGGGACATGATCACCACATTCAAGATTTTCAAGGGAATCGACAGGGTTGTGAAAGACAGGCTATTTAACACAAGGGGCACACACACAAGTGGAAACTGAGTGCCCAAATGAGCCACAGAGATATTAGAAAGAACTTTTTTAGTGTCAGAGTGGTTGACAAATGGAATGCATTAGGAAGTAATGTGGTGGAGGCTGACTCCATATACAGTTTCAAGTGTAGATATGATAGAGCCCAATAGGCTCAGGAACCTGCACACCTGTTGATTGAGGGTTGAGAGGCGGGACCAAAGAGCCAGAGGTCAACCCCCGCAAGCACAACTAGGTGAGTACAACTAGGTGAGTACACACACACACACATGTAAGACCAATCCTGGAGTATGCGGCCCCAGCATGGAGCCCGTACCTTGTCAAGCTCAAGACGAAGCTGGAAAAGTCCAAAGGTATGCCACTAGACTAGTCCCAGAACTAAGAGGCATGAGTTTCGAAGAAAGGCTGCGGGAAATGCACCTTACGACACTGGAGGACAGAAGAGTAAGGGGAGACATGATCACAACCTACAAATTCCTCAGGGGAATCGATCGGGTAAACAAGGACAACCTATTCAATTCTGGTGGGACGCGAACAAGAGGACACAGGTGGAAACTGTGTACAATTAGGTGAGTACACACACACTCACACACACAGGGGGCCTGGTAGCCTGGAGGATAGCCTGCCGGACTCGTAATTCTGTGGACCGGGTTCGATTTCCGGAGCAGGCAGAAACAACTGGGCAAAGTTTCTTTCACCCCGATGCCATTGTTACCTAGTAGTAAATAGGTACTTGGGAAGCTGTTTCGGAGAAGCTTCCTGGGTGTGTGTGTGTGTGTGAAAAAAATATTAGTTAGTTACAGTTGATTGATTGACAGTCGAGACGCGGGCCGAAAGAGGAGAGCTCAATCCCCGCAAGAACAACTAGGTGAATACACACAAACACCTGCATGATATCGCACGTCCGTTCGCGATATCTTTTTCAAATTGGTAAAGTGTGAGATAACTGGAATGTTCTGGGCTTCCTGCAGCGAGTATAACGGTCGGCGGTTCTGCCCCCCCTCTCCCTCCGACCCGCTTGTGGCCCGCTTGTGGCCGCTTGTGGCCCGCTTGTAGCCCGCTTGTGGCCCGCTTGTGTACCGCTTGTGGCCCGCTTGTGGCCCGCTTGTGGCCCGCTTGTTTACCGCTTGTGGCCCGCTTGTTTACCGCTTGTGGCCCGCTTGTGGCCCGCTTGTTTACCGCTTGTGGCCCGCTTGTTTACCGCTTGTGGCCCGCTTGTGGCCCGCTTGTTTACCGCTTGTGGCCCGCTTGTGGCCCGCTTGTTTACCGCTTGTGGCCCGCTTGTGGCCCGCTTGTTTACCGCTTGTGGCCCGCTTGTGGCCCGCTTGTTTACCGCTTGTGGCCCGCTTGTGTACCGCTTGTGGCCCGCTTGTGTACCGCTTGTGGCCCGCTTGTGGCCCGCTTGTGGCCTGCTTATGTACCGCTTGTGTACCGCTTGTGGCCCGCTTGTGTACCGCTTGTGGCCTGCTTATGTACCGCTTGTGGCCTGCTTGTTTACCGCTTGTGGCCTGCTTGTGGCCCGCTTGTGTACCGCTTGTGGCCCGCTTGTGCTGGGCGCAAGGTGGTGAAAGTGAGGGAAGGTGGACATGAGCATGTCGTGGTGTAGTGGTGTAAGGCGCGGGCTTGGGACAAATGGTCAATACGTACTGGACACAACACAGAGCCCAGCGGTGTCTCCCGTCCACAGGTGTACGGTGAAGATAACAGCATGGACGCCCAGGATGTTAGGAATTCACACAGTAGATACATTTATCTACACAAACGGTGTTACAGGCGTGATTATCTGGCCCCGGCGCCCATGGTTGCACAACACTGCAACACTCATTACGCTCCACGCAACACAACATATGTATAATACAATACCCCATAAAAGGTTGATGCATAAACTGGAGAAACAGGCAGGAGTAACTGGTAGGGCGCTCCAGTGGATAAGGGAGTACCTAAGCAATAGGAAGCAGAGAGTTACAGTGAACGGCGAGACCTCAGACTGGCGTGAAGTCACCAGTGGAGTCCGACAGGGCTCTGTACTCTGAACTATCTTGTTTCTGATATACGTAAATGATCTCCCAGAGGGTATAGACTCATTCCTCTCAATGTTTGCTGACGAAGCCAAAATTATGAGAAGGATTAAGACAGAGGAGGACAGCTTGAGGCTTCAAGAAGACCTGGACAAGCTGCAGGAATGGTCGAACAAATGGTTGTTAGAGATCAGATACAAGGTATCATCTGGGAGATGAAATACTTCAAGAGTCAGAGAGAGAGAAAGACCTGGGGGTTGATATCACGCCAGACCTGTCCCCTGATGCTCATATCAGAGGATAACTTCAGCAGCATATGCCAGGTTGGCTAACATAAGAACGGCCTTTAGAAACTTGTGTAAGGAATCTTTCAGAACATTATATACCACATATGTCAGACCAATCCTGGATTATGCGGCTCCAGCATGGAGTCCATATCTAGTCAAGCATAAGACTAAACTGGAAAAGATTCAAAGGTTTGCCACCAGACTAGTACCCGAACTGAGGGGTATGAGCTACGAGTAGAGACTACGGGAATTAAACGTCACGTCACTGGGAAACAGAAGAGTCAGAGGGGACATGATCACCACATACAAGATTCTCAGAGGAACTGATAGGGTAGGTAAAGTCAAACTACTTAACACAAGGGGCACACGCACTAGGGGACACAGGTAGAAATTGAGTGCCCAAATGGGCCATGGAGACGTTAGAAAGATCTTTTTCAGTGTCAGAGTTGTAGACAAATGGAATGTGTTAGGAAGTGATGTGGCGGAAGCGGACTCCATACACAGCTTCAAGTGTAGATATGATAGAGTCCAGAAGGCTCAGGAACCTGTACACCTGTTGATTGACGGTTGAGAGGCGGGACCAAAGAGCCAGAGGTCAACCCCCGCAAGCACAACTAGGTGAGTACAACTAGGTGAGTACAGCAGCACGCTCCACGCTCAAGGAATCTTTCTATAGATTTAATCACTGGTTCTTCGAGCCCGCTAACAGAGAAGTCAGCTCTGGAGCCTTGGATGCTTATCAAGACAGAGTGCCCAACTGGCTAAGTTTCTTGGCCGTTTCCTGGCGTCTTGTCGCAACTCGGCTCTAAAGGAGACCACCATCATTATCCAGGACAATACCTTCTCTCAACCTCTTAATCACTCTGGACGTTCTAACTGTTCAATGATCTAATTATCAATTAATTTCATTATTATTGTGCATCCCGGTCCCGCACTCGGGAGGTGCGGGACCGAGACGTCCACCTCCCGGGGGTCGTGCGGCCCCCCAGGCTCTGCTTCAGGAGGCTGGGGTCGTTCATACCCTTGCTGGGGTGGTTCTTCTCCGGTCCCGACAACGGCGGTCTCCGGGGTTGGAGGTCCCTGTGCCCTTCTTCACCACCTTCGAGGTCAACCCCGGAACTCACAGTTCCTGCGGTGGCACTGGAACCAATCGTATTGGCGTGTGTCTTTCCATTGGAGACTTTCAGCGCCGTGGAGAGGGGGGACCTGCTGCCTGGGTAACAGCTTCTCCCCCGAATCAGCCTACTCTGGCTTTGCGCCCTGGTGAGGCCACTCCAGACCGACAACCAGAGCGCAACTCCATAGTCTCCTGAGACTGATGGATGCCTACTAATTAGGCTTAGCAATGATCAATGATAATATTTAATATTACTCAAAATTTGAATAATAATGGACCTTTCTTAATTACAATGGACATTCGTAGTTATAATGGACAAACGTAATCAAAATGGACCTTCGAATTTTAATGGGAGTTCAGGGGAGTGCTGGTACCACGCGACCTGACTCTTGGGAGCCGCTATGGGACCGACTGAGGGCTGGTACCACGCGGCCTGGCTCTAGGGGGCCACTATGGGACCGACTGAGGGCTGGTACCACGGGGCCTGGCTCTAGGGGGCCGCTATGGGACCGACTGAGGGCTGGTACCACGCGGCCTGGCTCTAGGGGGCCGCTATGGGACCGACTGAGGGCTGGTACCACGCGGCCTGGCTCTAGGGGGCCGCTATGGGACCGACTGAGGGCTGGTACCACGCGGCCTGGCTCTAGGGGGCCAGTATGGGACCGACTGAGGGCTGGTACCACGGGGCCTGGCTCTAGGGGGCCGCTATGGGACCGACTGAGGGCTGGTACCACGCGGCCTGGCTCTAGGGGGCCACTATGGGACCGACTGAGGGCTGGTACCACGGGGCCTGGCTCTAGGGGGCCGCTATGGGACCGACTGAGGGCTGGTACCACGGGGCCTGGCTCTAGGGGGCCGCTATGGGACCGACTGAGGGCTGGTACCACGCGGCCTGGCTCTAGGGGGCCACTATGGGACCGACTGAGGGCTGGTACCACGCGGCCTGGCTCTAGGGGGCCAGTATGGGACCGACTGAGGGCTGGTACCACGGGGCCTGGCTCTAGGGGGCCACTATGGGACCGACTGAGGGCTGGTACCACGGGGTCTGGCTCTAGGGGGCCACTATGGGACCGACTGAGGGCTGGTACCACGGGACCTGGCTCTAGGGGGCCGCTATGGGACCGACTGAGGGCTGGTACCACGCGGCCTGGCTCTAGGGGGCCACTATGGGACCGACTGAGGGCTGGTACCACGCGGCCTGGCTCTAGGGGGCCAGTATGGGACCGACTGAGGGCTGGTACCACGGGGCCTGGCTCTAAGGGGCCACTATGGGACCGACTGAGGGCTGGTACCACGGGGTTTGGCTCTAGGGGGCCGCTATGGGACCGACTGAGGGACAGTTAACACCCACGTCGCTGCTGAACACAGTCAGTGTGTCGTTGACCACCTCCGCCGCCGGACCATGCTGCGTCCCCACCTCGTCCTGCTGGTCCTGCTGGTGCTGGCTTGCCGGATGGCCTGGGCCGGCCTGGCTAGGTGAGTGTGGCTCTTCAACTATTTCACCCGTACATATATACTAAACAGGTTCGAAGCCAAATGCGTCACGCATGATCGGTCGTTAATTAGTACTCATTTAATTTGTTCAGAAACTATCAAACTCACTAAATATAATAGTTTGAACCATTTCTTTGATGAACCACAACGGATTTATCATTACGAGTTAAGAAGCTACCTCTTCATCGTCGTGCTAGAAAATGGTAACGGCTCGCGAAATGGACATACTGTCCCGTTTTCTGTTTTGGGTCCTCTAGTACGCTGGGATAAGGGCACTTTAGTACGACAGTTTCTTGTCGTTGGGGGACCATTAGGAGGACGGGGTGAACAGACGCCCGCTCATTTCAGTCTCAGTCACAACAATAATTAGGTATGAAAATGATTCCCCTTCGTTAAACCTGAAGGCACTTCAAAGGTGCCCCCCACACACACAGTACAGGAGGCGCGTGTAAATAACCAGTGTTCTGGTTATTTAGACCCCCCGGGTGTCTGCTGGAGCACCGCCCGGGATCAACGGAAAATCCTCCACACATCCTGGCAAGTGCGCCTTAAGATTAATTTATCTCAATGTGATCTTGAAAAATGATAAACATGACCTATGCCAGTAGAGAGACGGTCTCGCTTCATGCAGATCCCCGACCGTCTAAGTCTAATATCATTGTATATTATATATATATATATATATATACACAGAGAAATCACATTATCATGATTTATCAATGAGAAAATCCACAAGAGCCATGATGAGGATTCGAACCTATGCGCTGCGAATTCCTAGGCACACGGTCAAGACCACTACGCCACGATACGGTCTAAAGTGGACGACTCGGGAATCCTCGCGGGCGCAATAGTACCCCAGGATGACATTCTTTAGACCATGTCGTGGCGTAGTCGCTTAGAGTGTGAGCATCTGGGAGTGCGCCGCGCATTGGTTCGAATACTCATCACTGCTCCTGTGGGTTTTCTCACTCATTGTATATTTTAACCCAGTGTTGTATTTTATACAGCGTTACCTTACATACAACTTGACACTCTTGTATGTTTACGGTCCATACATGTTGTTGGGACATCTTATCCTTGCACCGTCCGGGTGTCTGATGGAGCACCACCAGGGTGTCTGCTGGAGCACCTCCCGGGTGTCTGCTGGAGCACCGTCCGGGTGTCTGCTGGAGCACCACCAGGGTGTCTGCTGGAGCACCACCCGGGTGTCTGCTGGGACACCGCCCGGGTGTCTGCTGGAGCACCTCCCGGGTGTCTGCTGGAGCACCACCCGGGTGTCTGCTGGGACACCGCCCGGGTGTCTGCTGGAGCACCTCCCGGGTGTCTGCTGGAGCACCACCCGGGTGTCTGCTGGAGCACCTCCCGGGTGTCTGCTGGAGCACCTCCCGGGTGTCTGCTGGAGCACCTCCCGGGTGTCTGCTGGAGCACCTCCCGGGTGTCTGCTGGAGCACCTCCCGGGTGTCTGCTGGAGCACCTCCCGGGTGTCTGCTGGAGCACCTCCCGGGTGTCTGCCGGAGCACCTCCCGGGTGTCTGCTGGAGCACCTCCCGGGTGTCTGCTGGAGCACCTCCCGGGTGTCTGCTGGAGCACCTCCCGGGTGTCTGCTGGAGCACCACCCGGGTGTCTGCTGGAGCACCTCCCGGGTGTCTGCTGGAGCACCACCCGGGTGTCTGCTGGAGCACCTCCCGGGTGTCTGCTGGAGCACCTCCCGGGTGTCTGCTGGAGCACCTCCCGGGTGTCTGCTGGAGCACCGCCCGGGTGTCTGCTGGAGCACCTCCCGGGTGTCTGCTGGAGCACCTCCCGGGTGTCTGCTGGAGCACCACCCGGGTGTCTGCTGGAGCACCTCCCGGGTGTCTGCTGGAGCACCGCCCGGGTGTCTGCTGGAGCACCTCCCGGGTGTCTGCTGGAGCACCTCCCGGGTGTCTGCTGGAGCACCACCCGGGTGTCTGCTGGAGCACCTCCCGGGTGTCTGCTGGAGCACTGCCCGGGTGTCTGCTGGAGCACCTCCCGGGTGTCTGCTGGAGCACCGCCCGGGTGTCTGCTGGAGCACCTCCCGGGTGTCTGCTGGAGCACCTCCCGGGTGTCTGCTGGAGCACCTCCCGGGTGTCTGCTGGAGCACCTCCCGGATGTCGTATACACTTACATAATGTATAACTACACTTACACCAAAATAAATCTTCATTAACTGATCTTAAAGTTAAATACAACAGGAACGTTCAATTTTGTTATGTTTTGTTATGATAGTGAGGCAGATAACGCCCGGGCAGCTTAGTAACATTGTGCTTACAATGATCAGCTGATATCCGAAGGTCTTGGCCGGGCACGTGATATATTATATCTGGAGGTCTTGGCCGGGCACGTGATATATTATATCTGGAGGTCTTGGCCGGGCACGTGATATATTATATCTGGAGGTCTTGGCCGGGCACGTGATATATTATATCTGGAGGTCTTGGCCGGGCACGTGATATATTATATCTGGAGGTCTTGGCCGGGCACGTGATATATTATATCTGGAGGTCTTGGCCGGGCACGTGATATATTATATCTGGAGGTCTTGGCCGGGCACGTGATATATTATATCTGGAAGTCTTGGCCGAGCACGTGATATATTATAGCTGGAGGTCTTGGCCGGGCACGTGATATATTATATCTGGAGGTCTTGGCCGGGCACGTGATATATTATATCTGGAGGTCTTGGCCGGGCACGTGATATATTATAGCTGGAGGTCTTGGCCGGGCACGTGATATATTATATCTGTAGGTCTTGGCCGAGCACGTGATATATTATATATTAGGGGTCTTGGCCGAGCACGTGATATATTATATATTAGGGGTCTTGGCCGAGCACGTCATATATTATAGCTGGAGGTCTTGGCCGGGCACGTGATATATTATATCTAGAGGTCTTGGCCGGGCACGTGATATATTATAGCTGGAGGTCTTGGCCGGGCACGTGATATATTATATCTGGAGGTCTTGGCCGGGCACGTGATATATTATAGCTGGAGGTCTTGGCCGGGCACGTGATATATTATATCTGGAGGTCTTGGCCGAGCACGTGATATATTATATATTAGGGGTCTTGGCCGAGCACGTGATATATTAACTCTACGGTAACTTTACAGGGAGCGGAGAGTCTTCAGTGCTAACTCAAACCCTTCTTACGCCTCCAGTGTAGTCATGGACTCCTCTCAGGTGCAGAAGTACAAAGGTGAGTGTCCACGTACCTGGGACTGTGTGAGTGTCCACGCACCTGTGACTGTGTGAGTGTCCACGTACCTGGGACTGTGTGAGTGTCCACGTACCCGGGACTGTGTGAGTGACCACGCACCTGTGACTGTGTGAGTGTCCACGTACCAGGGACTGTGTGAGTGACCACGTACCTGGGACTGTGTGAGTGTCCACGTACCTGTGACTGTGTGAGTGTCCACGTACCTGGGACTATGTGAGTGTCCACGTACCTGGGACTGTGAGTGACCACGTACCAGGGACTGTGTGAGTGTCCACGTACCTGTGACTGTGTGAGTGTCCACGTACCTGGGACTGTGTGAGTGTCCACGTACCTGGGACTGTGTGAGTGTCCAAGTACCTGGGACTGTGTGAGTGTCCACGTACCTGGGACTGTGTGAGTGTCCACGCACCTGTGACTGTGTGAGTGTCCACGTACCTGGGACTGTGTGAGTGTCCACGTACCAGGGACTGTCTGAGTGACCACGTACCAGGGACTGTGTGAGTGACCACGTACCTGGGACTGTATGAGTGACCATGTACCAGGGACTGTGTGAGTGACCACGTACCTGGGACTGTATGAGTGACCACGTACCTGGGACTGTATGAGTGACCATGTACCAGGGACTGTGTGAGTGACCACGTACCAGGGACTGTATGAGTGACCATGTACCAGGGACTGTATGAGTGACCACGTACCAGGGACTGTATGAGTGACCACGTACCAGGGACTGTCTGAGTGACCACGTACCAGGGACTGTCTGAGTGACCACGTACCAGGGACTGTATGAGTGACCATGTACCAGGGACTGTCTGAGTGACCACGTACCAGGGACTGTATGAGTGACCACGTACCAAGGACTGTATGAGTGACCACGTACCAAGGACTGTATGAGTGACCACGTACCAGGGACTGTGTGAGTGACCACGTACCTGGGACTGTATGAGTGACCACGTACCAGGGAGTGTGAGTGACCACGTACCTGGGACTGTGTGAGTGACCACGTACCTGTGACTGTCTGAGTGACCACGTACCAGGGACTGCGTGAGAGACCACGTACATGGGACTGTGTGAGTGACCACGAACCTGGGACTGTGTGAGTGACCACGTACCTGGGACTGTGTGAGTGACCACGTACCTGGGACTGTATGAGTGACCACGTACCTGGGACTGTCTGAGTGACCACGTACCAGGGACTGTCTGAGTGACCACGTACCAGGGACTGTATGAGTGACCATGTACCAGGGACTGTCTGAGTGACCACGTACCAGGGACTGTATGAGTGACCACGTACCAAGGACTGTATGAGTGACCACGTACCAAGGACTGTATGAGTGACCACGTACCAGGGACTGTGTGAGTGACCACGTACCTGGGACTGTATGAGTGACCACGTACCAGGGAGTGTGAGTGACCACGTACCTGGGACTGTGTGAGTGACCACGTACCTGTGACTGTCTGAGTGACCACGTACCTGCAGGGACTGCGTGAGAGACCACGTACATGGGACTGTGTGAGTGACCACGAACCTGGGACTGTGTGAGTGACCACGTACCTGGGACTGTGTGAGTGACCACGTACCTGGGACTGTATGAGTGACCACGTACCTGGGACTGTATGAGTGACCACGCACCTGTGACTGTGTGAGTGACCACGTACCAGGGACTGTGTGAGTGACCACGTACCAGGGACTGTGTGAGTGTCCACGTACCTGGGACTGTGTGAGTGACCACGTACCTGGGACTGTGTGAGTGTCCACGTACCTGGGACTGTGTGAGTGTCCACGTACCTGGGACTGTGTGAGTGACCACGTACCTGGGACTGTGTGAGTGACCACGTACCTGGGACTGTGTGAGTGTCCACGTACCTGGGACTGTGTGAGTGACCACGTACCTGGGACTGTGTGAGTGACCACGTACCTGGGACTGTGTGAGTGTCCACGTACCTGGGACTGTGTGAGTGACCACGTACCTGGGACTGTCTGAGTGACCACGTACCAGGGACTGTATGAGTGACCACGTACCTTGGACTGTCTGAGTGACCACGTACCAGGGACTGTGTGAGTGATCACGTACCAGGGACTGTGTGAGTGACCACGTACCAGGGACTGTGTGAGTGACCACGTACCAGGGACTGCATGAGTGACCACGTACCTGGGACTGTCTGAGTGACCACGTACTTGGGACTGTGTGAGTGTCCACGCACCAGGGACTGTGTGAGTGTCCACGTACCTGGGACTGTATGAGTGACCACGTACCTGGGACTGTGTGAGTGTCCACGTACAAGAGACTGTGTGAGTGTCCACGTACAAGGGACTGTGTGAGTGTCCACGTACCTGTAACTGTGTGAGTAACCACGTACCTGTGACTGTGTGAGTGACCACGTACCTGGGACTGTGTGAGTGACCACGTACCAGGGACTGTCTGAGTGACCACGTACCAGGGACTGTGTGAGTGACCACGTACCTGGGACTGTATGAGTGACCATGTACCAGGGACTGTGTGAGTGACCACGTACCTGGGACTGTATGAGTGACCACGTACCTGGGACTGTATGAGTGACCATGTACCAGGGACTGTGTGAGTGACCACGTACCAGGGACTGTATGAGTGACCATGTAGCAGGGACTGTATGAGTGACCACGTACCAGGGACTGTATGAGTGACCACGTACCAGGGACTGTCTGAGTGACCACGTACCAGGGACTGTCTGAGTGACCACGTACCAGGGACTGTATGAGTGACCATGTACCAGGGACTGTCTGAGTGACCACGTACCAGGGACTGTATGAGTGACCACGTACCAAGGACTGTATGAGTGACCACGTACCAAGGACTGTATGAGTGACCACGTACCAGGGACTGTCTGAGTGACCACGTTCCTGGGACTGTATGAGTGACCACGTACCTTGGACTGTGTGAGTGTCCACGTACCTGGGACTGTGTGAGTGACCACGTACCTGGGACTGTGTGAGTGACCACGTACCTGGGACTGTATGAGTGACCATGTACCAGGGACTTTGTGAGTGACCACGTACCAGGGACTGTCTGAGTGACCACGTACCAGGGACTGTATGAGTGACCATGTACCAGGGACTTTGTGAGTGACCACGTACCAGGGACTGTATGAGTGACCATGTACCAGGGACTTTGTGAGTGACCACGTACCAGGGACTGTATGAGTGACCATGTACCAGGGACTGTATGAGTGACCATGTACCAGAGACTGTTTGAGTGACCACGTACCAGGGACTGTATGAGTGACCATGTACCAGGGACTTTGTGAGTGACCATGCACGTACCAGGGACTGTATGAGTGACCATGTACCAGGGACTGTATGAGTGACCATGTACCAGAGACTGTTTGAGTGACCACGTACCAGGGACTGTATGAGTGACCATGTTCCAGGGACTGTCTGAGTGACCACGTACCAGGGACTGTCTGAATGACCACGTACCAGGGACTGTATGAGTGACCACGTACCAGAGACTGTTTGAGTGACCACGTACCAGGGACTGTATGAGTGACCATGTACCAGGGACTGTATGAGTGACCATGTACCAGGGACTGTATGAGTGACCATGTACCAGGGACTGTATGAGTGACCACGTACCAGGGACTGTATGAGTGACCACGTACCAGGGACTGTATGAGTGACCATGTACCAGGGACTGTATGAGTGACCATGTACCAGGGACTGTATGAGTGACCACGTACCTGGGACTGTATGAGTGACCACGTACCAGGGACTGTATGAGTGACCATGTACCTGGGACTGTATGAGTGACCATGTACCAGGGACTGTATGAGTGACCACGTACCTGGGACTGTATGAGTGACCATGTACCAGGGACTGTATGAGTGACCATGTACCTGGGACTGTATGAGTGACCATGTACCAGGGACTGTATGAGTGACCACGTACCAGGGACTGTATGAGTGACCATGTACCTGGGACTGTATGAGTGACCATGTACCAGGGACTGTATGAGTGACCACGTACCTGGGACTGTATGAGTGACCATGTACCAGGGACTGTATGAGTGACCATGTACCTGGGACTGTATGAGTGACCATGTACCAGGGACTGCGTGAGTTTTATGACCAAACAATAAGCATTAAGCAAGAAAGAGGAGGATGGGTAGACTGCATTTTATTGGACTGTCGAAAGCTTTAGACACAGTACCCAATAAGAGAATGTGGCATAAGAGAAACAAGCTGGAGTAAGCAGTAGGGTGTTCCAGTGGATAAAGGAGTACCTAACAACAGGAAGCAGAGAGTTACCTGTGAGGGGGGTGGGACCTCAGACTTGGATGACGTCACCAGCAGAGTCCCTCAGGACTCTGTACTCGGGCCTATCCTGTATTTGATATACGTGAATGATCTTCCAGAAGGAATAGACTCATTCCTCTCAATGTTTGCTGATGATGCTAAAATTATGAGAAGGATTAAGACAGAGGAGAACAGCAAGAGGCTACAGGATGACCTGCACGGACTGAAGGAATGGTCCAGCAAGTGGTTACTAGAGTTTAACTCGAGATGCTGCTTCTGGAAGCTTTCCTTATCAAGACTACTCATAGGCCAGTCGATAGAGCTTCGGCCTCACGCGTTGGGTCCACGGTTCAAGACTCCTACAGCCCAGATGAATGGAATAAGAACTGCCATCAGAAACTTGTGTAAGGAATCATTCAAAACCTTGTATACCACGTATGTCAGACCAATCCTGGAATATACGGCTCCAGCCTGGAGTCCACATCCCAGTAGGCTCAGGAATCTGTACACCAGTTGATTGACAGTTGAGAGGCGGAACCAAAGAGCCAGAGCTCAACCCCAGCAAACACAATTAGGTAAGTACACACACACACACACACACACACACACACACACACACACACACACACACACACACACACACACACACACACACACACACACACACACACACAGAGTAGAAGACCCAGGCAGGAGTATGATGACAACAACAAGGCATGCACAGACAAACTGCAGAAGGCAGCAACACTAGCCCACAGAATGAGAGCGAAGCTGCTGATCATGGGGGACCTAAATGATGGAGAGATAAATTTGGAATCAAGGAATTCCCATGGAGGGGACGAAACGTGGGGAGCAAAGTTAGTAGATGTTATTGACAGGAATTTCCTAACACAACATGTGAAGAAAGACACAAGGGAAAGAAGAGGAGATGTACCGAGCCTATTAGACATGATTTTCACCCAGAACGTAGAAGATATCGAGAATTTGGAGCATGAAATACCTGTAGGGGCCAGTGACCATTGTGTCCTAGTCTTTGACTACATGATGGAATTCAAACTTATGACCATGGGACAAGAGGTCTGGGAAAGGAGAGCTGACTACAGGAAAGGGGACTATAAGAGGATAAGGGACTATCTGGGTGAAGTGCAGTGGGAGGAAGAAATTAGAGGAAAAAAAGTCTAAGATATAATACCTAGTCATACAGAAATGCCAGGAGGCCGAAGAGAGATTTATACCAACAGTAAAGGAAAATAATAAGAAACAATATAATAACCCATGGTTTAGTAGACAGTGTCAGGAAGCAAAAATGGCCAGCAGGCGGGAGTGGAGGAAGTACAGAAGACAAAGGACAGAGGACAACAGGATCAGATGCAACAGAGCTAGGAACGATTACATTAACATAAGACGAACATCGGAAAGGGACTATGAGAACGATATTGCAATCAAAGCGAAAAAACAACCTAAGTTACTACACAGTCATATAAGAAGAAAAATGTCTGTGAACGACCAAGTGACAAGACTAAGGAAGACAGAGGGGGCATATACTGAAAGTGACAAGGAAATCTGCGAGGCACTGAATGCCAGTTTCCATGGAGTGTTCACTACCAAGCCTGAGCAGCTCCTATTGTTGGAAGGGGTTACTCTAGATGAAAGACTACCAGATATAGAGGTGTGATCAGAGGAGGTAATGAAACAGTTGACAACTCTAGATGCAACTAAAGCAGTTGGACCAGACAAAGTATCACCGTGGATACTAAAAGAAGCAGCGCAGGTCCTCAGCGTGCCTCTGGCAATGATCTTTAATGAGTCACTTATGTCGGGGGAATTGCCCAGTTGCTGGAAGAAGGCAAATGTCGTGCCGATCTTCAAGAAAGGTGATAGGGAGGAGGCACTTAACTATAGACCTGTATCACTGACAAGCATCCCGTGCAAAATACTGGAAAGAATAATTTGGCTAAAACTGGATGCACACCTGGAGAACATTAGGTTTGTGAACAAACATCAACATGGGTTCTGGACAGGGAAATCGTGCCTAACAAACCTTCTGGAATTCTATGATAAAATAACGAGGATAAGACAGGACAGAGATGGTTGGGCAGACTGCATATTTCTGGACTGCCAAAAAGCCTTTCATACAGTACCGCACATGAGACTGCTGTTCAAACTCGAGAGGCAGGCGGGGGTGGGGGGAAACGTCCTAGCATGGATAAGGAACTACCTAACAGGAAGGAGCCAAAGAGTGACGTTAAGGGGCGAGAAGTTGGACTGGCGAACAGTAACAAGTGGAGTACCACAAGGATCGGTGCTGGGACCAATTCTATTTCTAGTATATGTTAACGACATGTTTACAGGCGTAGAGTCCTACATGTCGATGTTTGCGGAGGCCGCAAAGTTGATGAGAAGAGTTGTGACAGATGAGGATTGCAGGATCCTCCAAGAGGACCTGAACAGGTTGCAGAGATGGTCAGAGAAATGGCTACTGGAATTCAACACGGGCAAATGTAAAGTTATGGAAATGGGGCTAGGAGATAGGAGACCAAGGGGACAGTACACAATGAAGGGGAACAGCCTACCTGTAACGACGCGAGAAAGAGACCTGGGTGTGGACGTAACACCTAATCTATCTCCTGAGGCACATATAAATAGGATAACGACAGCAGCGTACTCTACACTGGCAAAAGTTAGAACATCATTCAGAAACCTAAGTAAGGAGGCATTTAGGGCGCTTTACACTGCCTACGTGAGGCCAGTCTTTGAGTATGCTGCCTCATCATGGAGTCTCCATCTGAAGAAGCATATAATGAAACTGGAAAAGGTTCAGAGGTTTGCAACGAGACTCGTCCCAGAGCTACGAGCGATGGGGTATGAGGAGCGCCTGAGGGAACTGTGCCTTTCGACACTAGAAAGAAGAAGGGAAAGGGGGAACATGGTAGAAACGTATAAAATACTCAGAGGGATTGACAGAGTGGACATAGACGAAATGTTCAAACGGAATAGTAACAGAATGAGGGGACATGGGTGGAAACTGGAACCTCAGACGAGTCACAGAGATGTTAGAAAGTTTTCTTTTAGCGTGAGAGTAGTGGGAAAATGGAATGCACTTCAGAAACAGGTTGTGGAAGCAAATACTATTCATAATTTTAAAACCAGGTATGATAGGGAAATGGGACAGGAGTCATTGCTGTAAACAACCGATGCTCGAAAGGCGGGATCCAAGAGTCAATGCTCGATCCTGCAGACACAACTAGGTGAGTACAACTAGGTGAGTACACACACACACTCACACACACACACACTCACACACACACACACACATGGATTCAGGGAGGGTAAATCTTGCCTTACAGGCTTGATAGAATTCTACGATCAGGTGACACGGATTAAGCAAGAAAGAGAGGGCTGGGCGGACTGCATTTTCTTGGATTGTCGGAAAGCCTTTGACACAGTACCGCATAAGAGGCTGGTACATAAGCTGGAGAGACAGGCAGGTGTAGCTGGTAAGGTGCTCCAGTGGATAAGGGAGTATCTAAGCAATAGGAAGCAGAGAGTTACGGTGAGGGGTGAGACCTCCGATTGGCGTGAAGTCACCAGTGGAGTCCCACAGGGCTCTGTACTCGGTCCTATCTTGTTTCTGATATATGTAAATGATCTCCCGGAGGGGTATCGATTCATTTCTCTCAATGTTTGCGGACGATGCTAAAATTATGAGAAGGATTAAAACAGAAGAGGACTGTTTGAGGCTTCAAGAAGACCTAGACAAGCTGAAGGAATGGTCGAACAAATGGTTGTTAGAGTTTAACCCAACCAAATGTAATGTAATGAAGATAGGTGTAGGGAGCAGGAGGCCAGATACAAGGTATCATCTGGGAGAGGAAATTCTTCAGGAGTCAGAGAAGGAAAAAGACTTGGGGGTTGATATCACGCCAGACCTGTCTCCTGCAGCACATATCAAGCGGATAACATCAGCGGCATATGCCAGGCTGGCCAACATACGAACGGCATTCAGAAACTTGTGAAAAGAATCATTCAGAACTTTGTATACCACATATGTCAGGCCAATCCTGGAGTATGCAGCCCCAGCATGGAGTCCATATCTAGTCAAGGATAAGACTAAACTGGAAAAGGTTCAAAGGTTTGCCACCAGACTAGTACCCGAGCTGAGAGGTATGAGCTACGAGGAGAGACTACGGGAATTAAACCTCACTTCGCTGGAAGACAGAAGAGTTAGGGGGGACATGATCACCACATTCAAGATTCTGAAGGGGATTGATAGGGTAGATAAAGACAGTCTATTTAACACAAGGGGAACACGCACAAGGGGACACAGGTGGAAACTGAGTGCCCAAATGAGCCACAGAGATATTAGAAAGAACTTTTTTAGTGTCAGAGTGGTTGACAAATGGAATGCATTAGGGGGTGATGTGGTGGAGGCTGACTCCATACACAGTTTCAAGTGTAGATATGATAGAGCCCGATAGGCTCAGGAATCTGTACACCTGTTGATTGACGGTTGAGAGGCGGGACCAAAGAGCCAGAGCTCAACCCCCGCAAACACAACTAGGTGAGTACAACTAGGTGAGTACACACACACACACACACACACACACACACACACACACACACGCACACACACACACACACACACACACACACACACACACACACGCACACACACACACACACACACACACACACACACACACACACACAGTCACACACACACACACACACACACACACACACACACAGTCACACACACACACACACACACACACACACACACACACACACACACACACACACACACACACACACACACACACACACACACACACACACACACTGAGCACAACAAGCTCCTAAACATTTCTTCCTTCGACATAATTCCTGTTATGTTTTCCAGATTGCAGCCGGGAAGTAAATGTTGCAAACGCTCAAGTTCGATGTGCACTCAGGTGAGTCCCTCTGGCACTCAGGTGAGGCCCGCTGGCACTCAGGTGAGTCTCGCTGGCACTCAGGTGAGTCACACTGGCACTCAGGTGAGTTTCGATGTGCACTCAGGTGAGTCTCACTGGCACTCAGGTGAGTCTCACTGGCACTCAGGTGAGTCCCGCTGGCACTCAGGTGAGTCCCGATGGCACTCAGGTGAGTCTCGCTGGCACTTAGGTGAGTCTCGCTGGCACTCAGGTGAGTCCCGCTGGCACTCAGGTGAGTCCCGATGGCACTCAGGTGAGTCTCGCTGGCACTTAGGTGAGTCTCGCTGGCACTCAGGTGAGTCCCTCTGGCACTCAGGTGAGTCCCTCTGACACTCAGGTGAGTCCCGCTGGCACTCAGGTGAGTCCCTCTGACTCTCAGGTGAGTCTCGCTGGCACTCAGGTGAGTCCCTCTGACACTCAGGTGAGTCTCGCTGGCACTCAGGTGAGTCCCGCTGGCACTCAGGTGAGTCTCGCTGGCACTCAGGTGAGTCTCGCTGGCACTCAGGTGAGTCTCTCTGGCACTCAGGTGAGTCTCGCTGGCACTCAGGTGAGTCCCGCTGGCACTCAGGTGAGTCCCGCTGGCACTCAGGTGAGTCCCGCTGGCACTTAGGTGAGTCTCGCTGGCACTCAGGTGAGTCCCTCTGGCACTCAGGTGAGTCCCTCTGACACTCAGGTGAGTCCCGCTGGCACTCAGGTGAGTCCCTCTGACACTCAGGTGAGTCTCGCTGGCACTCAGGTGAGTCCCGCTGGCACTCAGGTGAGTCCCGCTGGCACTCAGGTGAGTCCCGCTGGCACTCAGGTGAGTCCCGCTGGCACTCAGGTGAGTCTCGCTGGTACTCAGGTGAGTCTCGCTGGCACTCAGGTGAGTCCCGCTGGCACTCAGAGATTTTAACCTACATGTATTTGCTGGAACCCATTTAATAATTGTTTGAGAGAGAGAGAGAGAGAGAGAGAGAGAGAGAGAGAGAGAGAGAGAGAGAGAGAGAGAGAGAGAGAGAGAGAGAGAGAGAGAGAGAGAGAGAGAGAGAGAAAGAGACACACACAGACAGACACAGACAGACAGACAGAGACAGACAGACACCACTAACACAGTGTTGTGTACCGTCAACAGCGGGTGTAGGGTGAGGTGTAACTCCGGGTACAAGCTCCCATCAGGGAGAGGATCAGCCACCCTGGTGTGTGACCAGGCCTCTGGACAACTGAGCTATGATGGCCAGCCCTGGACACCGGCACTCCTCGCCTGCCTCCGTATGTACCACTATCTTGCCTCTGTTAACTTTACCATTTTCAAATTCTTCTGAAGTTCTTCAATTTTGGATCAAATATCCTTAACACTATTTCTATATCATCTTATAATTTCTCTTTTGTATGAAAATCCATTTGGGATAGACTTTATTTTCTTAAATTTGACCTGGGTTCGAATCCTGGCCGGGGAGGATTGACTGGGCGCCACTGTTCACCCAGCAGTGAATGGGTACCATCTTAGCCTGGTACTACCTTCTTAGTCTGGTAGTATCTTCTTAGCCTGGTACTACCGTCTTAGCCTGGTACTACCGTCTTAGCCTGGTACTACCGTCTTAGCCTGGTACTATCTTCTTAGCCTGGTACTATCTTCTTAGCCTGGTACTACCGTCTTAGCCTGGTACTACCGTCTTAGCCTGGTACTACCGTCTTAGCCTGGTACTATCTTCTTAGCCTGGTACTATCTTCTTAGCCTGGTACTACCGTCTTAGCCTGGTACTATCTTCTTAGCCTGGTACTACCTTCTTAGCCTGGTACTACCGTCTTAGCCTGGTACTACCGTCTTAGCCTGGTACTACAGTCTTAGCCTGGTACTTCCGTCTTAGCCTGGTACTATTTTCTTAGCCTGGTACTACCGTCTTAGCCTGGTACTACCTTCTTAGCCTGGTAATACCGTCTTAGCCTGGTAATACCGTCTTAGCCTGGTACTACAGTCTTAGCCTGGTACTACCGTCTTAGCCTGGTACTATCTTCTTAGCCTGGTACTACCGCCTTAGCCTGGTACTACCTTCTTAGCCTGGTAATACCGTCTTAGCCTGGTACTACCGTCTTAGCCGGGTACTATCTTCTTAGCCTGGTACTACCGTCTTAGCCTGGTACTACCGTCTTAGCCTGGTACTACCGTCTTAGCCTGGTACTACCGTCTTAGCCTGGTACTATCTTCTTAGCCTGGTACTACCGTCTTAGCCTGGCACTACCTTCTTAGCCTGGTACTACCTTCTTAGCCTGGTACTACCGTCTTAGCCTGGTACTACCTTCTTAGCCTGGTACTTCCTTCTTAGTCTGGTACTACCTTCTTAGCCTGGTACTACCGTCTTAGCTTGGTACTACCTTCTTAGTCTGGTACTATCTTCTTAGCCTGGTACTACCTTCTTAGCCTGGTACTACCTTCTTAGCCTGGTACTATCTTCTTAGCCTGGTACTACCATCTTAGCCTGGTACTACCGTCTTAGCCTGGTACTACCGTCTTAGCCTGATACTACCATCTTAGCCTGGTACTACCGTCTTAGCCTGGTACTACCGTCTTAGCCTGGTACTACCTTCTTAGCCTGGTACTACCTTCTTAACCTGGTACTACCGTCTTAGCCTGGTACTACCTTCTTAGCCTGGTACTACCTTCTTAGCCTGGTACTACCGTCTTAGCCTGGTACTACCGTCTTAGCCTGGTACTACCGTCTTAGCCTGGTACTACTGTCTTAGCCTGGTACTACCGCCTTAGCCTGGTACTACCGTCTTATAAAGTAATACCAGGATAATCAAGTTGCAATCAAAGATAAGTTTAACATTTCTAACCTAATTGCTTTCCAGCTTACTGTGGTGAAGACGGCTGCCATAATGGCGGACAGTGCCTGGCTCCGGGTCTGTGCAAGTGTGCCAGAGGCTACACCGGTGACCAGTGCCAGACGCCGGAGGCACCCACAACCTGTCCACAGCCAGACCTGCAGGTACAGGGCGGCCAGGTGGCACTCAGAGACACCCAGATGGTGATTACCTGCGACCCGGGCTACTCCTTCCCTATCGGGGGCCGCGTGGCTCTGGTTGACTGTCTGCACGGTGTGTGGCAGCTTCCTGGTCAAGGGTTCGAGGCACAGGGCCCCCTACTTTGTTCTGGTGAGTACTGCTTTTTCCGGTACACTTACCCCTTGGTTTTTCTGTCCACTTATCCCTTTGTCTTTCGGTCCATTTACCCCTTTGTTTTTCTGTCCACTTATCCCTTTGTCTTTCTGTCCACTTACCCCTTTGTCTTTCGGTCCATTTACCCCTTTGTTTTTCTGTCCACTTATCCCTTTGTCTTTCTGTCCACTTACCCCCTTTGTCTTTCGGTCCATTTACCCCTTTGTTTTTCTGTCCACTTACCCCTTTGTCTTTCGGTCCATTTACCCCTTTGTTTTTCTGTCCACTTACTGTTTTGTTTTCGGTTCACTTACTCTTCTTCTCCCTATCATCCTGTAGTTCAACTATCACCAAGAGAACTCTCTCCTCCACATTCTTCCCTCTATCTGCTCACCAGTTTCCTCACTTCTCCTCTCCCACTGCCCGTGACTCTCCATTCCATCCAGTCCTATCCCTTCCTCACCCGTCCTGATCCTGTGGTCATCCCGGCGTCCAGCGAATCACTTTTCTACCCAATCCTTCGATTTAGTTCCATTCGCGAAGCCATGAGTCACAATGAAGGTTTAAGATAAGACACCCAACCCACAAATCTCAAAATTCAGAATTAACGACGTTTCGGATCGTCGTGGACCATTATTGACTTGT